GTTGTTTATGTGGCTTGTGGAGGTGGTATTGAACTATAATTTATATTTTGCCTTAATTGTTGATTTATAAAGATAATTTTCCTTTTTTAAAGTAGAATATCTAGGTACGTATAAATTATTTCAACTTGATATAGGCGCTGTTGCCAATATGTGAATTAGAAACAAATCCCTTTAAAAATTAAAACCCAACATTTGAAACATCAACTTGAATACTTTTCGAAGTGTTTTTGAAAAACTCATGAAATATAAACTCAACTTTATTTTGTTCAAACTTGCATTTGCTGTAATAACCCAAATTGAGGAACATTTCCCATTGTTCACACAGGACAATTGTGATCGCATACACAGGATAAGTGTAATGGCATATTAAGGATAAGTGTACCAGAACAGGACAGCTGGAGGCTTCTGTACAGCTTTCATATGGAAGGATAAAAGCGACATTATGATGGAAAAGGACTGCTAGAAGGAACCAAATTAGAATAACGTCCACAGGGACAGATGATCTGAAATACGGTTTTCTAACTCGGAGAATCGATAATTTTTTTCGTGAAAAGGACATCTATCTACATTGTGATCTGTTTTATAACCTAATGTTATATGGCTGAAATAACTCTTGACATATACACGATTTACGGCTCAACTTTGTTTGTATTCTCGTTCCCAAAATAGATGCTGACATTTGAAATATTTTCATTTAAATTGTGTAGATCGATAACTTGGTTGTTAAATTTATATTACGACAGAATGTTGAGAGATGCTTCCTGAACTTTATGTACTATTTCAGTGGTAGGTAAAGTGGTTTTACCACTTTAAGATAAGAAATAATTCCAAAGTATATGAAATTTATCATAAAATGTATTCTACCACAAAGGTACGAATGAACAGACAGAAACATTTTCAGAAGTACCAACACCACCTGAAGTGAACAGATGACACACAAGTTTGGAAGTTTTTCAGTTCGTAAAATTAATTTATTAACAAATACGTTCTTAGTTTGACTTGAAAATGGCAAACAAATACCAATGAAAACAATGTCAAAACAATGTGAGATCTCGTTAATTCTTATCAAGCACAAGTTTTGAATTTTGATGGGTTTCCATCAGTAAGTAGACAACAAACCCCATCAAAATTGTTTTATCGAACATTGTTATTGATATCGAATGTTGTTATTACACTACCATACACTTTAAAAATAAAGAATTGTATTCTAACCATTCTCAAAATATCACTTTCAAAGATGCATGCAAAATCTTGAATTACGGTACATATTATAATAGTCCATTCATCTAAGGTTCAAAAACGGCATTGTCAAGAAAAAAATATAGAAGTGGTGTCTAATCGAATATATATATATATATATATATATATATATATATATATATATATATATATATATATATATATATATATATATATATATATATATANTTATCGCGACAAGCTTTTAACATAATTTCAATTCTGTAAAGTCATAAATGAATGTGGTTAATGTGATTTAAAATTTTATTTTGATCTTTTTAAGGCACTAAAATAAAAGCTTGTTTTAAAAATTTTTGTATCATGATTTTATTAGTTTTTTTGAGAATACTTGTTTTTATAAGAAGCAGATAAAATATATATCAACATTATAATTCGGATAATATTCGATTCCGCTTCATAAGGACTAGAAAATTCGTTTCAGAGAATAAAAAAATACGATAAATGAATTGGTTCACATCGCCATCGACACACGAAAATCTCAGCAATAACATTCAGATTCAATTTCGCTGGTAATATGATTTATTCGGGTGTGTTTTATTGTGCCATAATTATGTGAGAGAGAATTTATAGCTACGACAACGTTAATGTAAATAATAAAACAGTTTGAGTCAGCCAAGGATGTAATGAGTCACCTAAGTTAATTGAACCTATAACATTGATACTACTGTAAATTAATGAAATTGTCTCGGACAAGTGATGAATCCTCATAAGCAGCTTTCACTTGAACGTTTTTCAGAACCGTAGTCCAGGTTCTTAGGTTTAGTTTATCAAATAGGTATATAAGTCTCCACTTCATTTTATTAATGTTAATATTAAAGGAAAAAGAATTGATAAAATTAAAAAAGTATAAATTTTCAGTGGGGATGTAATATTTCTGTATTGATGTTATACTTATTCATTAACCCTACAGTGCTCAATGTTTTATATATTCAATACATCCATCAAATTATACATTTAAGAGCTTATAAATCTCAAGTAGTCGCCAAAACATTTTGTCACATATTTGGAACACCTCTATGTACAGGGTGAGTCAACAAAATTCCCTCGATTCATTGCTATCAGGAGAAACAATTTTTAACTGCTCAATTTTTTTTGTCGTCAAATCGATGAATAGTATCTTTAAAAATTATTTTCTCGCATACTGGGTGATTCAGCTGAGCGTGGCCAACCAAAGTTATATTTTTTAAATAGAACATCCAGTAAATGAATACGTCATTCGATTACATATTTTTTAGCTCTCTAAGGAATTTTTGTTTTCCAATTTCCATTACGGCATTGCCAAGTTATCCCAGACAAACCTATTTTGCAGACAATATTTTTTTAATTCACCATCCGCATGTCGACATGAATTAAGTGGATTTTTTTAGGAATAGTTAGTCAACATCACTATGATACTTTCTGGAATCACAACTTTCGGAAACCATATATAGGGTGCTCGGTAAAACCGGTAAAAACACCCTGTATTTTTTCATTTGTATGAAATGTTTCAACATTTCACTACATTTTTTATCAGAGTTATACTATACGAAAAACTGATATTTTACAAAAAAATTACAT